CACTGAGCTCCTGGCCTCCCCATGAGGGAAAGAATATATTCTTGTTGCTTTATGCCATCTCGGCTGTGATACTGTTACAGCAGCCACTAGTTTGTTTGAAGCCACCACCAACCACATCTGTGATTCTTTGTTACAGCAGCCACAGGAAACTCATACACTGCAGGGATTCTATTGTCTGAAGCAACCACATCTGTGATACTTTGTCACAGCAGCCCACAGAAACCCATACCCTGCAGGGATTTCTATAACTTGAAGCCACCACATCTGTGATACAGCAGCCAAGGAAACTCCTACACTGCAGGGATCCTACTGTCTACAGCACCACATTTGGGACACAACTTTAATAGTGGCCACTGCACCAACTCAGACACAGCAACCGATTTCTATTGCTTGAAACCACAACAACTGTAATACTTTGTTACAGCAGCCACAGCAAACTCATACCTTTCCTCACAAGCCCGAGAAGTCAGGGTTGCTAAAGAAAGCAGGCCTGGGTGGAACCCTGGCTAGCACGAATGAACTGCACACTGATGAACTTGAAGACTTTTCTTGGACAATCTGATCTCCATGGCAAACTGAGGAACCAACACTTTGTGATCAAAACTTTTTTTTGGAGGTTTCCTGCTATATGGGGTCAGGGACAGAACTGCCCGGAATCTTTTTGGGGACCAGAAAAAAACAAAACAGAGGACTCCTGACAGTTTGCAGGGACCAAGGGGACAGCTGCCACCAGAGATCTGTGTGATGACAGCAGAATGTCTGCTCTTGGCTGGAGCCCAAGGGTGGCCCCCCTCCCCGCCCCAGCGGATCGTTTTTATCAAAGTGACAATTATGGGGAAGTGGGGTCTATTAGGGAAGCTGGAGAGGACGCAGGCCTGGTTGCAGGCGGTGCTGTAATTAGATTGCAGGGGCCCTTTGATTCAGCCATTGAACCAGAAGGGCCAGAACACACATGCCTCCTGCGTGGCAGGTGCTGGGGGAGCTCGGTGGGGGGACCCAGCTCACTGCAGGGTGAGCTGGTGATGACTACACCTGGGCAGGGAGGTGCTCCCGGGCCCTGATGCGTGTGTCCACTCAGCATCAGCGGGCCGGGCACTGCTCCGGAGTGGGACTGTGGGGTCAAGGCGCTTGCTTCCGGCCGTGCTGCCTGTCCACATGTCAGACACAGGGCAGGCGCTCCAGGCCGAGGCAGGGAGACCCAGCCTTGGAGGGAAGCATGAAGGAGGAGGCATTGCTCGCCTTCCCCGCCACCTGCTTTGCGGCCTGTACAGTTTACTGGAGAGTTGAGACCAGGCACTATCAACTTCAGGTTCAGGGGGCTTAATCACTGTGTCCTGGGCCACCAGGCCGCACTAGTTACACTTTTAAAATAAAAAAGCATTAAACCCAGGCCTTTTTGCCCAATCTCCATCCCTGCTGTTGTTGTTGGTATGTGCCGTCGAGTTGCTTGCGACTCGTAGCGACCCTATGTACAACAGCCCTAAACTCTGCTCTATCCTGTGCCAATCGCACTGTCTCTGACACTCCCATCCCGATTAACCCAGTTACTGAATCAATCCACCTCATAGAGGGCCTTCCCCTCCTGTGCTGTCCCTCCACCCTCCCAAGCATGATGTCCTTCTCCAAGGACTGGTCTCTCCTCACAACATGTCCGAAGTATGTTAGACGGAGCCTCAGAATCCTTGCCTCCAAGGAGCCACCCGGTTTAACCCTTTCCAGGACAAATCTGTTTGTTTTTCCTAGCAGTCCATGGTATTCTCAGTACTCTTCTCCAGCACCACAGCTCAAAGGCATCAATTCTCCTTCTATCCTCCTTGGTCATGGTCCAACTCTCTAATGTATAACAAGTGATTGCAAAGACCTGAAACAGTTTAATACCTACATAAAAAAGTGGAGGGTCAGCAGAGCAGAGAGGAAGACCCCCAACACCTTCGACACAGCAGAGGCCGTGTGGATGGCGTGGGGTAAGGCTGAGTCGCAGCTGACTAGATGGAACCTAACAAGAAAGACCCAGACAGTTCAGGGCACATCTGCAAAGGGAGAGTGAGGTGGTCTGAATGTATTCTATGCCAGCAGGGGACAGGGGCCTGGCCACCTGACCCTGCAGCGGCGACAGCCTATGGGATCCAACAGGGCAGCTCTGCTCTGTCACTGAGATAACCCGCCGGGAGCGAGTGGCGCCTCTCTGGAGGTTCGAACCCGCCAGCTGCTCCACGGCAGAAGGATGGGCAATCTCCTCTGTGCGATTTACAGTCTCTGAAAACCTGCTGGAGTGCTGCAAAAACACCTGGCTGCTAATCTAAAGGTTGGTGGCCAGAAACTACCCAGCAGGTGTATGCAAAAATGACCCGGTGATCTGTCCCTGCCAAGAAGAACCCACCATAGTCTAATCTCAGTGTCCCCCAGGAACTGGCCCTGCCTCTCTGATGCCCCCCTTCCAAAGGGAGACTGCTCTCCAGGACCCAGACCCTGGTTTCCCACTGGGAGTGTTCATTCGAAGCCCCGGCTTAATCTGAGGTCTGGAAGGTAAACTGGGGGGAAGGGGCCTAGTTCAGGGGCTGAGACCTTCAGGGTGACCAATATGCTATGAATCACCTCTTCTAATCCAGCTTTTATTACTGCTGCTGTCGTAAGGTGCCATCGAGCTGAACATGACCCAGAGCGACCCTAAGAACAACAGAGCTAACTGTCCTGTCCTGCGCCAGCCTTCCCATCTCTGACACGCTTGGGCCCAGCGCGGTGTCACCTTGTTAATCCCACTGGCTGAGGTCCTCCTCTCCTTGGCTGCCCTCCACCTCTCCAAGCACGCGGTGCCTCTCTGAGGACCAGCCTCCCCTAGCAACGTGCCTGAAGTATGAGAGATGAAGTTTTATTGTTTTTCCCTCCCAGGAGCACTCTGGGCACATCTTCTTTTACTATTAATGTTGCTGATGAAATCGCCATGGTTACCGACGTGCGGCTGAAGAGAGGCCAAAGACGCTCCCACCCAAGAGCCTCTTCCCAGGACGGGAGGGCGTGTCCCGTTTCTGCCGGGCGCCCCAAAGGGTTAACGTCATTTTCATCAGAATTTACATTTCAGTGGGCGCCGTCCGCCTTTGAACGTTGACTGGCAACCATTTCATATTTCAATCTCGGCAGAACAAATTGAATTAGATGTTGAAACCAAACTCAGCTTCGCTCACCACAGCCTGCATGCTCGGCTGCCGCTGATCCCGGCACCGCCACTGAGCTCAGGCCGCAGCCGCCAGAGACAGAACAGACACGAGGGGTGCAGGGGGGAAGGAGGAGAAACGCGCCCCCGAGGACCGGCCTCCGTGGGACGCGGTCTTCTAGAACCTTCTGTTGGGTCAGATGGCACCCACGGGGAAGTCAGCATGTGGGGTGACACTGTCGTTGGGGGATCCCTAGTGCCCAGGGGCTGCACAGGAAGTGTCTGCTGGATGAATGAATGGCTGCCGCCCCTGCTGGCCAGGCCGTGCCCTCCCCCTGCTGTTCACGCCTCTCAAGGATGGACCGGATCCCCGGAGCCCACCTGAGTCCAGGCGCTTACCCTGATCCTGAGCAAGCCTGACCGAGGTGCCCGCTCGCTGGACACTGTCCAAGGACGGAAGAGCGGCTGCCTGGCCTGGCCCTGACATGCACTTGGCACCAGGAGCCGTCGCTCGGCCGCTGCCCTTGGCCGACCTGCCTTTAACCTGAGCAGGGCCTCCCCACTCGGCTCTCCCAGAAGGCAGTGCGGCTGTTTGGGGTGAACTCCAGGACCACAGAGCCAGGAACACCCAGCCCCACGTGGGCTGTGGTTCCAGGGGGCTGGCCTCACTCCCAGCTGTCCACTTCAGTGACTGACCGACCACTGCGGGTTTGGCTTGGCACAAGGAATGAAGGTCATGCGATTCCCTTACCCAGCATCCCCCAGGGGGTGCATGTGGAGCTGGGAGGCAGAGGGACACTGCTTCCAGGCTGCCTTCCTGGATCTACTGCCTCCTGGACTCCACAACCCCCTTCTCACCGCCCTGCCAGGCTCTCCAACCCAGGGGCCTTTGCATACACGCCGGCTCCAACTTCCACGGACACTCGCTGGGGCTGGCCACCTGTGCTCCGCCCTGTCACGGTGTTGTCATCACAGACAAAATGATGATACAACGGCGACAACCAGCAAATGTATGCAGTGTGCACTGGGCATCAAGAACCCTCTTAAGTGCTTTCCATTCACGACCTGATCTTTAAATCTCAAAACACAACAAGGCTATTACGTAGAACCTTTTGTACCCATTACAAAGAGGTGGAAACTGAGGCCTGGAAACACTGAGGCCCTTGCCGCTGGTTGCTAGCGGGTGGTGGAGCTGTGATTCAAGCCCAGGTGTTGAGTCAGGGCCCACAGGTTCTGCCCTCTGACGCCTACCTCATGCTGGGGACCCCAATGCCCCTCCAGCAGGCTGGGGCTCCCTCTGTGCTCTCACAGCGCCCACATCGCCTGGGTGCTGTTGTCTCCTGTCTGTACTGCTCCAGTCCCCACCTGGCGGGGCTCCTGACCACTTGGGGGTCATAGACTCTTCTAAGGAATGGATGAGCCTGTCTCCACCCCAACCCGCTGGTCTGGAGCCTCATGGACTTGGAAGCACAGCCAGACTCAAGCTCTGTGTCCAGGGCACCTGCTTGGCTGACTTCTGAAATTCCCTCAGAGGCCCGGGACCTCTGATGTCCCATCATCACTGCAAACTCACCCCAAACCTTTATCGCCCCCATCTTCCAGAAAGCTTCCTGGTAAGCCCCATCCAATGATCACCCTGACTGTCAACAACCCTGACGCCAGGGCTCCAGGGCTCAGCGTCTCCCCACCCACCCCGCACGTGGTCGACGGATCCACGTCTCACAAGATGCTCTCGGGTGGCCTCTATGGAGGGGTACGGGGAAGAGGGACGCCCCGGCTGGGCCAGGCTCAGGGCTGGGCAAGTGAACACGTGTGAGTACTGGTGATGAGGATGAGGAGGGTGACAGCTTTAATAGTCCCCACTGTTTAGAGCATATGTTCTGGAGGTGGGACGAGCCTTGAGATCAAAGACGCCCGTGTTCAAAGCCCAGCTGTGGCTGGCAGGGACAGGCTTCTGAGATGGCAGTGGGTGGCCGGGGTTGGCACTGAAAAGAGTTGGGAGTTTCACTCCAGAGAAAGTGGACAGGGGAACTTCTTGAGGAAAACGGAGCTTCAACTGACAGTCAGGGACAGTCAGGAAGATGGGGGGACGTCCCTGCAGAGGGGACAGGAAGTGAGGGGACTGGCCACCTGGAGCTCTCCTGCCCCTCAGGGCTGCTGGGAGGAGCCACCTGAGGACCACGTGAGAGCGGCTAACAGGCCAGGTCCTGCCAGCTCCTGGCTTGCCCTCCCTCGATGCCCTAAGGTGGTAGCCCCATGCCCAGTCCTCTGCTGGCACCGAGCGGGCGCACAGTCAGTATCTGGCAGAATGCACCAGATTCTGTGGCCTAAGATGTGGTGGGCCGGCAGGAGGGGTGACACTGACCACTGGAGGGGTGCTGCCTGCTGCCCCCTTGCCGAGCGAGCATCCCGCCCGCCCCCGCCGCGCGCCCACATGGGGCAGGAGCGCAGACGCCACGGCGGCCGTCCCACGTCCCCAGGGCCCTGCAGCCACATACCAGTGCGGTGCCAGCTCGCAGCTGAAGGGTTTGCTACGCGCTGTCGTCGCTGTCTTCCAGCTGCTCCAGGATCTCGTCCAACACCACAGACCGCTTTTTCTTCGGGGGCTCTGTGGGAGCCCAGATGGCAGGAGAGGAGAAAAGAACAGCAGAGAGGGTTGGGGGGCGGGAAGGGAGACGAGACAGCGGGAGGGGGAGTGGAGGGGGTAGAGTGGGGGTGGGGAGAGGGCCGGGGACCAGGAGGGTAGAAGGAGGATGGAAGCCAGAGACGGGAGAGGAGAGAGGAGGGAGAAGGGGAGAGAAACACTGTGCTTAGTCTCGGCTTCACTTCTCTTCCAAACCCCCCGACCCACTGTCACCCCGCCATCACCTGGACACCTCACAGGCATCCTCGCCCCACAGGAGACAAGGTCCCACATCCAGACTCAAAAGAGAGGGCCTCCTCAAAAGGTTTAGGAGCCAGAGCTGGGCCACATCTGGAGAACCAAACTCAGTTCCTGTTTTGTCAGGGGTTACAGACTCTAACGCCATGGAGTGAGTGATTGGAGCCCCATACATGCTGGGGGCACACATGTGGGGCTCAGGGCTTTCAGGGGAGGGAGAGCACACAGCTCTGCATGGGAAGCCCACAGAGGGAACAACAATTAGGGTTGTCTTTGGTGAGGAAGGGCTTTTTAACTTGGACTTTGAGGAATGCAGAGGAGTTCTCTGTTGAGGAACCAGGGAAGGTGATTCAGAAGTCCAAAATGAATACAGGCATGGGATCTGGGAATGCATGACAGGCCCAACAAAACATGCACCCCTTCTGGGCCCCAAACACTATGAGCTGAGTACCTACTATGTGCTACATTAACGGCGCTCAAAAGACCTCAAACCCAATGTCACAGAGTCAGTTCCAGCTCACAGCAGCCCTCGACTGGGGTTAGGAGGCTGGTAACAGAGGAGCTGGTGCCATCTTTCTCCTGAGCAGCTCCAGGTGGATTTGAACCATGGAAAACATGCAGCCCTAGACTCAGCAGTGCAGTGCACGGAGGACCATGCACACAGAGTTCCTGTTAACAACCCAAGGTAACGCTCACAGGAGAGAAGCGAGCCTCCCACGGTCAAGTCTAAGTTCCTCTAGCCAGGCCACAGCAGAGCCAGGATCCAAACCCAAGGCCCTGGACAGTCCCACTTGATGCGAAGCTTCAGGTGCTGGTCAGAGGATGCCAGGGAGCGAGAGGGGGGCGGGCTGGTCCCTTTGGCGCAGCGAGGGAACAGGGGTGAGAGGCTCCAGGCCGGCCCGCTCTCTTGGTCCCTTTGTGGATAAAACCACACACAGACGAGGCCAGACCGAGGGAGGCGGCCATAAAGGGGGCTGCCCAAGTCACTGTGTCTTTAGGAATCTTTCCTGGTGAAAGATGCTCCCCACAACCATCTGCTGTCATCTTCTTACTAGGCTGTGGGTGACAGAGAGTGGTACCCAGGGTCACTCTGCATCCTCACCCTTAGCACGCTACTGGGCATTCAGCGGGCACTCACTGCCCATCCACTGTGTGAGACGACGGAATGGCTGAGGGGGACAAGGGCTGCCCCACTTCAAGGTGTAGGGAGGCGTGGGAGCCAGTACCCAGCCACCCAGCCTCCTGCCTGTCCCGGGAGCGGTGCCCATCACTGCTCGTCGTGAAGACAGGGCAGACCGGTGGGGTGCTGGCCCTCGGCTCTGACACTGGCCTCCCTGGGCCCTGGCTCCCTCATAACCTCTGGTCTCTGCAGGTGCACAAAGGTCTCTGGAAGTGGAATCGTGGGCTGGTAATGTCATGTCCTGTCAAGAACGACTCACGGTGACCCTACGAACAGCCGACCTGACCCTGCCCTTCCCTGTGCCGTCCTCCACGTCTCTGATACACCAGAGCCTTCTCCTCTGTCACTGTGTCAATCCATCTGGCTGGGGGTTCCCCCTCCTTCACCGACCCTCTTTCTCAGCATGACGTCCCTTTGAAGGGACAGGTCATCGGAGCTGGGAAATAGAAGAACCACAAAATGAGGCTGGCCAGTCACTGGTGACCCCTTACAACTGCTGTCTATGGATGGCCATCCCTCAGTGCAGAGAAGACCAGAACGTCACCAAGGGGCACAGTCTGGAGGCTGGAAGACAGAGGCTTAGAGGTGTTCGCTCACTGGCTGTGGGGTCAGGGGTGCGGACAGCAGGCTTGTGACCGGCTCCTCTGTGGCCCTGAAGGTGGAGCACTCTGACGCCCAGCTCGGCCGTGTACTGACCTGGGCAAATCACTTCTGCTCTCTGGGCCTCAGCTTGCCATCTGCACCCACACCCGCTGCCATCGGAGTCGACTCCAGCTCACGGTGACCCGAGGACAGGGCGGAACTGCCCACCGGGTTCCCATGCTGTAATCTGCATGGAAGCAGGCTGCCCTACAGCTCTGTGGAGCCGTAGGGGGGTTCAAACCACTGACCTTTCTGTTAGCAGCTGGGTGCTTAAACGTGGCACCACCAGGGCGCCTTGCTGTCTAAACAGCACCCGTTTCTAGTGCCCCAGCCCAGCACCTGAGGCCCATCGTGGCTCCCGCGGGCCTTGCAGCCCCGGGTCGGTGGCCCAGTTGCTCCCCCAGGGGGTGGCGTGGGGACCGGGTTCCCGCGGTTCTGCCCAACGCCCTCCACCCCCACTTCCATGGGAAGCACCCTGCTTGCAGAGAACAGCTGTTGAAATCCCACTTCCCCAACATCAAAAGCCTCAGTGGGTTTTCACCAAACACACACAAAGCAGAACTGGGGGAAGGTGTAAAAGAAACAAACAAAACAAGCAGTGCATTCGCCTCCCCCATCCCAGCTGCACCCGAAGATGTCACCAAGTGAACGTCACCAGACACCAGAGGCCTGAGAAATTAACTTTACAAAAAGCTCAGCCGGGGCCCCAACAGCCCCCTGGCCCTGCCTCCTCTCCCACGCCCCCTCCCCTCACACCCCAGCCTCCAACCACTATTTTGTATTTCTGGAGTTCCCATCTAATGATTTTATTTTTCAATTAATTCTTTGACAGAATGCCAGCCCGCATCGTTCCTTGTTCCTGGGCCGGTGCTGTCACCCTGGCTGCGTGGCAGACACAGGCCTGCGGAGAAGAGGGGGAGAAGGAGAGGAGGGGAGAGGGAGACGGGGAGGGGAGAGGAAGAGGAGGAGGAAGGGGAGAGGAAGGAGGAGGGGGCTGCGGGCCGGCAGGGGCTGTCAGGACGAAGATGAGAGGGCTCCTGATGCAGTTTGTTCTAGACATAGAACGTTGAGGAAAGGCAGGCGTGGCTACCCGGGAGCTGTGCCCTTCTGGAAGGTTCTCTGAGAGCAGCAGGCGGAACAGCCGGGGACGAGAGGCGAGCTGGGCTGGCATCCACCCTGCCACTCCTGACTGGGCAGCCCTGGGCAAGTGGCTTCGCCTCTGTGTGCCCAGCGTCCACAGCTGTGGAATACCCACCTCCCAGGGAGCACAGAGTATTAACTGTAAGTTTGTAAACGGGAGGCTTTCAAGCCAGGCACTCTGGTGGTGCAGTGGTTAAGCACATGGCTGTGAACCAAAGGCTTGGCAGTTTGAATCCATCCGCCAGCTGGAGACGGTGGCGGTCAGCTTCCTAACGACTGCTTGGTGCCGTGGAGCGACCCCGTGAACAAGCGACGGCAACCCTGCCCCGCCCTGTGCCAAGCGCACAGGCTCTGCCACGGTCGAGTCCACCGTGGCAGTCACCATGGCGGTCACCGTGGCCTCATCGAGGGCCTTCCTCTCCTTTGCCAACTCTCTCCGTTTCCAAGCATGATGGCTTTTCATGCCCGAGGACAGGTCCCTCCTGACAATGTGTCCAAAGAACGTGGCACCAGGTTTCATCTCAGCATCCTTGCCCCACGGAGCACCCTGGCTGCTTCTGAGACTCAGGACCCCACGGGCATTTCCCAGGGGAGCTGCACGGTTAACGGAAAGCCAGCACTTCTCTGGTGGTTCAAACCCACCAGCGGCTCCTCAGGAGAAAGTCGGGCATCGTCCCCCCGTGTGATTTCCACTCTCAGGAACACACGGGGTCTGCACACACCCAGGGGCTTCGTCAGCATTAGCTTGCGGCCCCTCTGCTCTCTCGGCACAGGCTGGAGGTGGAAGACAGGGCTCAACAGTGTCTCTTCTCAGGGACAAGGTGTCCCGATGTCCTGTGGACTGCCAGAGAGGGGCTGGCTTTAGGTCAACAGTGCAGCTCCCTGTGGGAAATGCCGCTGGAGCCCGGAGTCTCAGAAGCGCAGCCGGAGTGCTCCGAGGTGTGGTCCATCTTTGCGTCCGAGGATGCGGAAATGAGACCTGGTGCTGCATTCTCTGAGCATCCTATCAGGAGGGACCAGCAGGTCCGGGTGGCAGGAGGGAGCAGCGTGGGCTGTGGCACATCGAAGAGGAAGTTTCACAGGCATGACAGCCTCTTTCTGTACGCATCCCTGAGGGCGTACGGGACCCGACTGCCCAGCGAGGCCAGAAATCCTGACCCTTTTCTGTAAAATGCTGCTCGGCGCTGTCTGGGGATCTGAACTCGGGGCGGCCCTTGATGACACAGTACAAATGCCCCAAGGAGTGCCCATGGCTGGAACCTCTACAGAAGCAGATCAAAACTCAAAATGCGTAACTGCCCTTCCAGTGGGTTCTGCAGAGGCTGTACGTTTGCGAAGAGACTGCCATCCTCCTCCTGAGGCGTGGCGGGTGGAAGGGAGCCAGCAGGGACGCGTGGCTGTAGGTGACCATGGCAATCCTCTATGGCCTAGTGGTCAGGCCTTCTCCCTAGCAAGCCTCTGTCGTGCCGGCCATTTGGACCCGAGTCACAGCAGATCCTCCAGCAGGTTTGCAGAGGCTGTAAACCCCGTGGGAAGAGACTGCCCATCTTTGTCCTGTAGAGAGCAGCTGGCAGGTAAGAGCTGTGTGCCTTTGTGCTAGCATGCCCAAGGGATGAGAGGCGAAGCTCCCTTGCCTCCAAGGAGCACTCTGGGTAGTGGTGGGGGCTAATTCAAAATCACCTTTTTCCTTATCTTTTGTGCAAAAACAACCCCCCGTGGGCCGATCTCAGCTGTTGGCTGGTTGGCTGGCATGGCCGCTGATCGC